TATATAGAGTTTCTTCATATCAAGTGACACTTTTATCAAGTATTTGTTATTGTTTTAATTTAATTGACCATTCAATTATGTTTGATTTTTAATCGTTATATTGGAATGACTAACTACCTAATGAAGCAATCAATTCTTTTTCTAATTATACGTTTCTAGTAATTCTAGTCATAATACAACATATAAATAATTTAAAAATTATGAATAAACATAACCAGACATAGGCATTCTATAAGAATATTCAAAAGAAACAAAGATTTTTAAGATAAAGAACATGATTAATTGAAAATAATTCTCAATATGTATATAAAATAGAAAATTAAAAAACAATAATATTAACTTTCTCAAAATTTGTAAATAAGATAGAGTATCAAAAAAGCACACACGTTTCGATTTAGAAATCTTATAAATATAACCACTACAACAATTCTTATACATTTCTCACGAATGTTTTCCACTTTGTTATGTCAAATATATATAAATTATGTAAACGTTTTCAAATATCTATCTATCTATCTGGAGCGATTATCAGCCGATCACGACAACAACATCGTGCGCGGTTTTATGAAGGCCAGTACATCGTGGCGTGATACAATTATTAGAATGTAACTACGGCTAATGCTAGTGTGATAATAATAATTGGATAATTACGGGTAGGCAACCGCGTCGCTGTATCTTTTCCAATTTTTTGTACTGTTATCATAATTCAATTTATCTTGCTCGACCAAATGGTAACGCATTCCTCCATCACTTCGGAAACGTAAAGTTTCCGACAAAGTTGTTCTATACATTTACATATATAATCTCGAATAATCTCGTCCTTGACCTTTAGACCTGCTACTTTTTTCTCAATCATAATTCATATTATAACAAGATGCAAATAAAGCAAATGCGATAAAGTAAGAGAAGAATAAAATAATAATACGGCAAGTGTTATGATATTTTAATATTATTAATCATAATTAAAAATATTAATAATTAATTAAATGCATCGATCTCAAGTTTTCGAATAAATATAATTTTTACAGAATGTAATATTATTGCTTACTGAAATTATACAACGAAACATTCATTTTACAGTACAGCGTACATATTACTATTTCAATAAAAGCGAAAAATTCATTTTTCTCCCAACAATTATATTTATTCATGAATAAGTAAAGTTATTTATTTCGTTTTAATTAATAAATAATCAAACCGCCATAAATGATTTTTAAAAATCATTCATGAAAAGCAATTGGCAGAGCGAATTTTTCTGATTATTTTTTTTTTAATTTATTAGAGGTAGGTAAGAGAATCAAATGCGTACGTGAGAAATAAATGAAATCTAGGTATAATAAATGTGTACATATATCTATCCTAGCTGCGGAAAAGACTGCTAACGACGGTAATTATCAATTGAAAGCGAGTTTCCGCTGGGCATGGAGCGATGCCTAATTGCATAATCTGTATACTGCGATCGTACCGCTGTTATCCGGCATGAGAGTCTGACCGTAAAATGCCAACCTTGACGAGGATGCGCACTTGTATATGCAGCATCTCGCGTTTATCTCCGGCCATTCGCATTTGCATGATATCGAACTGATCAGATTACCGACCGAATAAACAAAAAAAATTATGCATTTACAAGATCTCTTCTTTTTAATGTAATAAATAGAAGAGATCAAACAAATTGAAGAAAAAAGTGTAATATAGAGTAAAAATAAAAGTTTCACTTATTAATCACCAATTTATTTACTAATTAATTGCTTAAATGGACTAAGATTTCCGTTTAAATTACTACTTTTAATAAAATTATTAATCATGATATTAATGTAAATAAAACTATCATATTCATTTGTGAATAAATTATATATTATATAATTTGTTTCGCGATTAAATAATAAATCCTATAAAAAATAATAGTTATCTTAATAATATTAATAATAACATTCTGATTAATATTAATGACTAATTGCTATTAATTTTCTATATAAGAATATTAAATTGAAATATAAATAAATTTTATGATAAAATATTAGAATTGCAAATTTTCAAGTGTATCATTTTCCAACTAAAATACAACTTGTGAATAACATTCCTTTTCTTCGAGCTTCTGTGTATGAAAACTTAATCATAGTCTTCTCTGATGTACACCCATTTATATCTACCCCATAAAAAATAATAGTTATAGCTGAAACGAAGAAAGCTAATAAACGCGAAGACCGTCCATCCTTTCTACGATCTCCAACAAATCTGCGCCTCGTGCGTGGCTATTTCAAACCGCGCTCGTAGCATTATTATTATTATTCATTCTTTTAAGACCATTTATTTCAGGTTTGCAGAGAGTACTTATTACGCTCCCCCCTTAATTAAAAGGTTATAATCTACGATGTCGAGCTCTTGAAAATTCAGCGCCGTGGGCTCGAAAGAAAGTCAGTGCGATGCCGCGTATACGCACAATAGGCACCCGCTTTCGTCACTTTCTACATTTTTTACATTCGAAGTGAAGCAAATGTAACTTAACTGTGAACGGGAGGGAACGAGGAGAAGAGGAAGAGATGGAACTATTGTGAAAATAAACAAGACAATTGTTTCGCGTCGCATGTTCTAACATACTTCAACAAGTTCCAACATGACTCCAACACTCTATATTCCATACTCTATTGAAGCATGCTACGCGAATAAATCTAAAGTGTCATATTCCCGAAGATGTACAGTAGCAGAGTAACCCAGGTACATTAAAAAGTCATGAAATTTAATGTACTTTTAAGTTACACAAATTAAATTCAATTTTAAGACAATAAAATAAATTTATAAATGTATCTGCAACTGAAAAGTGTATTTGTGCACATGTGCATGAAATTTAGTGTACTTTTCATAAAATTTTACGAAGATTTAATACATTTTTTATTAAATTTTATATAGATGAAATTTAATTAATTTAAGTAAATGTTAAATTTAAGTTACTTATAACTTCATTTTCATTGACATTAAATATTTTTAATGCACCTGCTTGAAATTGTTTCCATTACATGTAGCAAATTTCTTTTTTTTTAGCAGTATAGAACACGGAATCATAATTAAATCATAATGATATTACAGAACATCCAGAGAAAACGTAGCTGTGATTTTAAAAATTTTCGGTTAAAGAAAAAAATTTTTTTAATTTGTGAAAAAATTTCTTTCATTTAAACATTTTTTAAAATCAAATAAAATTTATTATTAAATCAAAGAAATTTTTTCACAATCAAAAAAATTTTCTTTTCCAAAGAAGACAATCTTTTCTTTGGATGAACATCATCATGACGTCATTTGATACTTACAAAATTAACTTGTGACGAATGAAGTCATGATGATGTCCTTATGATATTATTATGATTTTTATATTCTAAGAAATGACACTTACATTCAGGACCGATTTTTATCAATTTTTGGTCGTGCATTTAAGGCTATTTTTTATTAGTGCTGCTGCTACACACAACGCAATACACCTTATTTAATTCCATTATGGACGAAAACGTGGGATGTGTTCAGAAACGCTTATAAACATCATTTGTCCTTGTCTAATATTTGATACAATAGCGTGTGAGCGTGAAAACGGAAAGCATCCGTGAAGATACGATATATGTAATACGGAATCAGACTCACTGGCAGATTTCTGATGCCCAGCCGCACCTTGGAGTACTTCTTCATAAACACTCGCCAGAGCACGTAGGCCATGGCGACGGCGACGATGACGACGAAGATCGGCGCCGTTGTCTCGGACAATCCCGCCGTTTTCGCGGTCGGCGATGCTTCTCCCTTGATGAAACCGTCGTCAAAGACAACGTCCGTTGTTGCGCCACACGCGAGTCGTTCGATCGTCAAGAATCCGCGGCATCGTGGATGATTCACGATACAATTACACACGACACGAATTCGTAAACCGGAGTCACGAAAGGCGCCAACTTCCGCGCGAACGTTGGCTCGTCGCAAACGCGTCTGCGGACTTTGAGGTTACGTCACACAATTACATCGCACGATTTGCGGACGCCGACAAGATGGCGGAACGCGATTCGAAGCACTGAACTCCTAAAGTTTACCTTTTGTGGCGGAATACCCTTTTGGAACTTAAAGACGGACAATGTTTGATATTTGACGAAAGCGAGAGAAAATTCTAGTGCAGGAATAAAAAAACAGACCTCAAGTATTTGATGGTTTTTTGAGATGTAGTTCCGCGAATTCTTAGTCGAAAGTCCAAGGGGGCTCGGAGGAAAAGTACCGAATTTGATCGGCAGAACGAACGGTTAGCTCGGTGATAATCCCGTCTCGCCACGCTTCGAGCCAACCACACGAGATCCGTTTCGATCGTCGTTACGAATCACAAATTACGCGCAATGACCTCTGTACACGTTACGCGTCGCCTGCTCGGCCATTTGAATCGGTGATAAACTTCACACGGCCGACCGAACGGAACGTTACGAAACAGTTGCGCGCCGACAGTCGCGAAATTCGCTCCGCTTGTGTCAACCTTCACGTCCTTCACTGCGCGTCTATTCGCGCTCGCAGGCAACTTCACGCCGGTCACGTGCCTCGCAATATGAACGACGCGCAACGGAAAAAAGTACGAACGGAAATCACGAACGAAGGTCAACCACCGCTCATTGCACGAATATTATCTATGAATAAGTAATGCTTACTCCTTTATATATAAGATTCTTGCAGCAGAAGAGTCACCGAGTGCAGACAATAGATTTATAAAGTTTCTGGTGGAACTAACTGTCTTTTGTAATCACTTGACAAATATCTGTATTCACTCGAAACGTCTATTCGATTTACTTGTGGAAAGTTGGAGGAAAAGATTTGCATGTCATCTCTGGCTATGTCATCTCCAATTGCGAAGTCGAGTCTATTCGAAAGAACAAAAAAGAACAGGCTATTCTTACTATTCGGTGAATTACGTCATTTGATTCCGCGATCGCGGTAACTCAAAGCGATCCACGTCACTCGCGTTGATCGATGTCCAAAGGAGTTTCGTTGACTCGCGGTATTGCCAAACAATCGCCAGTCGTGTCTCGTGTAATCCGACGCGCGTCTCACGATTATTCACAAGAAAGCACACGTACAAAATGTCACAGCGCGAACTAAACGCGTTATATCTACGTTATATCTACGTTAGTATCAAGGCGCACGTGATATTCGCGGCGAGTCCAAGCGCGCTTGTCGACAACGACTTCTCGCCGTTCATACTGGCGCGAAAAATTGTTCGGCGTAGCGTTGTCGGCGCGACAGGACGGTTTTCACGGATCACACTGATCGAAAGTACACACCGCACGCCCGCCGGCGTCCGCTGCCGCGATGTAACTGACTTACTGACACGCGACACACGCAACCGTCGGCGCGCGCTGAGCGCTGAGCGCTCTCGCGACCGGCGCTGCCCCGCTGCCACGAGCCGCCGGCGAACGCCGCTTGCTTGCTTTCGTGGAACGCGACGAAACGGAATATCTTGAATGAAACGCGTCGGCGGAGCCGCGCATCCCGTTTTATCGCTTGAAATCTTTCAGATCTATCCGGTATAAATATTACCTCTTATACGGTTCTTATTATTTCTCTATTGTCTGCAGAAATTAGCGCGGAGCGTTAAAGTAGCACTACTTTCTGCGGCTGATTCAAGGCGGCTTCCGACGTGGTTAATGTATGTCAATTTTAGCAAATATTACACACACATATAATGTATAATTATCCATATGAATGTAGGGCAATATTTAATGAATGTGCGTAAAGTGGCGTCTACAATAAAATTTTAAGATGTAAAACTTAAGCTTTAAACCCTGAACCGTAAAATCAACAAAATTAAGAAATAAATATTATAGATATTTTTAAATTTAAAAGGAAATCTTTAATTAGTAAATATCATTTAATTATCAATCGAATGTGAGGAGAATAATTAATTATGATTAATCAATTTTTTACAACTTAAGGCTTAAAGCTTAAGTTTCACACCTTAAAATTTTATTGTAGACACCGCTTAAAATAGCGCAACTTATGTAAGATATACGTTGTTCATTTAAGTATAGATTCGCCATTTGAAATATTAGCAAGTATTTATGAATCACTAACCAATAATTTATTATCGAATATAAAAATATTAATAATTCAAAAAAGAATGTAACAGATTTCAATAAGATTTCAATAAGAAAATTCTTTCTCCTATTTTTCGAACGCCTTATAACTTCAACATTTTGTTTAGATTACATAGAGTATTTAATTGCTGTGTGCTCTGATGAAAATTTTTCTCATAACTTTTACGAATTCGAACACTTTTTAAGAAATACCCAGAAATATTCAGAAAGTTTACATCTTCTCTTAGAATTGTTCATTCTGAAATATTCTGAGATATTCTGAAATATTCTGAGATTTCTCATTCCATAATTTTGAAAATATATTTTTAACTTTTTTAGATTTTATAACATTTCATCAAAAATTTTATTTAGAACAAAAATCTTAGAAATCTTAGGAGAAATCTTATTTCGTTAACATATATGAAAAATTCTGAAAAAAGATGTAGACTTTCCGAGTATTTCTGAAAAGTGTTCCAATTCGCATAAAAAAATGTGAGAAAGTTATAAAATTATACAGAAATTCTGAAAAATTGTATGAAAAATTTCTGAGAAAAATTTTTACCAGAGTGCATATGTCTGTGCGCATGTTTATCTTTTGAGAATGTATTTCGATGTAGCGATATTCATTTTGACTTATAACATGTTCATATACTCGAGAAAGGAATCAAATACTGCCTTTTGTAATGTTATATTATAATCAAGTTACATCATTAAATTTTGTGGACTGTTGTGGAAAGATGATAGTTCATTTCCTGCATATAAAACATGAACTTCCGAGAACGAAATAAAAATTGCTAACAAAGAAGGATCGATTTTCATTCGTAATCACACATACATTTATACAGGTAGTTTCATACATTTGTACGTTTGGTTTCGACAAAACAGAAACGAAATGACAACGTGACAAAATGCTTCTCGTATTTTACAATTAGTATGCTATTCCGCGCTTTCGCTTCCCCGTGTAATCGTATCTTTTATTTGCTCGTTTTTTTTTATATTCAGCCATCGTTATTGCAACTTGTGTTACATCGCTAATGCATACGTGCATTACGAAGAGACTAAAAATGCTTGTTATACACTTACATAAGCACACACCTTCACCCCACGGGAGACAATGGGTGTGTCTGCTTCACGTGACGGCCACGTGAGCACCCTCGAAAAGGGCTTTCCCATTCCCTGGACATTCATTCATTCAGCAGGTCGGTCAGTGTCGTGGGCGGCGGTGATGATCCCTAGACTTGCCCGACCCAAAGTTGAAAAGAATCGAGACTGGTTACGAAAAAAGGGCAGAGAAAACGTACAATCAGCTTGATGTTCAACAGAATTAAAAAGATTGCCGCATCATTTTGTGCGATTTCCAAATATGTCCGAGATAGTATCCAAGATTACGGATATAATTAATTCTCATAAATAAACATACATGTCTTCCGCGTAAAGGTAAAATTGTAATGAGGGAACATTTGCAAGAGAGAGAGAGAGAGAGAGAGAGAGAGAGAAAGAGAGACTTTCTATTTAAGAACATGAAAGATGTCTCAAATATAAATACAAGCTTAACAAATAAAGATATACATACTTTCTCACATGAAATAAAAAAGAACCTTTACCTTTTTTTAAATATAATAAATATAATTTTTCCGCATTTATTTTTGTCTGCTAGAAATTTTGTTTAAATAAATTTTCATAAATATAAATGATCATGTCAATCTCGTTTGTATATTCATTTTTCTGTTTTCTTTAATCAAAGTCTCATAAAATATCTTTTTATCATGGCGCAACATTGTTACTTATATCGTTATAATCTTATCCCATTTCATGAGACACACGATTCAGAATGTTCTTAAGATTATGATATCGGGCGATGCGATCGTGCATTCTTAATAGCTGAACAATCGTAGCCGAGCAATCGTTTTTCTGTTTTCCTTTTTATGATCGAGAATCTATAACTCGGCAATTACTTAATCGTCAATTTATTTCGATAGCGACAGGCTGGATCCACGATGTGGCGCGGCAATTATTTTTTACTTTCCGTTTTCGTGGCGAACGTGATCACGCACGGCGCGCAATTGCTGCCCGAGATCGCTGCGCTGCATTAATCGATCTTTCTGTCGGACACAACATGCGCGCATGAGGTACACTCTGGCAGAATTAAGTAGATGTCAATGCGTTCCCACGTGTCCGTGTCTCCGGCGGCCACTTTCGTGCCCGGGATAAATACTTATAAAAACACTTAGAAAACACAGACGTCTATCATTTCGTAACGCCGCGCTAACTGCCTTTCCGTATAGCAAGAGCAATACCTCGGTCAGTCGATCGATCCTCACAAGTCGTAATTACTGTCCAATGAACGTTACGCCTCTGGCGGTCTTACGAACCACAAAATACTTTGCATTCTACTCCATATTAAGAATTTCAAGATGTTCAAGAAGTGCAAATAAACTAAAAATCTTTATTTCTATGATCATACATGGAGAAATATGATGATCCTTATCGCGCTTTATACCGGAGAAAATGAGAATAATTAGAAAGTGAATTAAAATGTATCACAAGAAAGACGTATCTACCTTACTGTATCACGTATGTATCTATGTGTTTGTGTATCGCGTTGAAATCATAACGTGTAACATGAATCGTGAATCATTAACCAAGTTCTTGTTGAGCAAGAGGGAGGGTAACGCCGCGAACGTACACTATCACAAATTGACGATAGATAATGTGAAAGAAAGAGATCGTATTATCGCGATGGACAGGGTCGGGTTACTCGGAGGTTAATCGAACAATGGTGTGTGTAACGACAATTATTATCCGATCTAGCGAACTTGTGACATGCATATTGTTATCTTGCGAAAGCATTTTCGCGCTTAGAAGATTGCTTATTATTAAATAAGTACGTAAA